GTAGAAGTAGTAGTACTAGATTTAGAAGTAGTAGTCGTACTAGTAGTAGTAGTAGTCGTAGTAGTAGCAGCAGTAGCGATGGTAGTCTTAGTAGTAGTAGTGGTAGTAGACGTGGTCGTAGCACTAATAGGACTAGTAGTCATAGTAGAAGTAGTAGTTTTAGTACTAACAGCAGCAGTAGTAGTAGTAGTCCCAGTAGTAGTAGTAGTAGCAGTAGTACTAGTAGCAGTGGTAGTGGTAGTATTAGTAGTAGTCGCACTAGTAGTAGTTGTAGTAGTAGTAGTAGTAGTAGTAGTAGTTGTAGTAGTAGTAGTAGTAGTAGTAATAGAACTAGAACTAGTAGTAGTAGTAGTAGTAGTAGTAGTAGTAGTAGTAGTGGTAGTAGTAGTAGTAGTAGTAGTAGTAGTCGTAGTAGTAGTAGTAGTAGTAGTAGTAGTAGTAGTGGTAGTGGTAGATGATGTAGTAGTAGTAGATGATGTAGTAGTAGTAGTAGTAGTAGTAGTAGTAGTAGTAGTAGTATAGTAGTAGTAATAGTAGTAGTAGTAGTAGTAGTAGTAGTAGTAGTAGTAGTAGGTTGGGTAGTGGTGGCTAGTAGTAGTAGTAGTAGTATAGTAGTTAGTAGTACTAGTAGTAGTAGTAGTAGTAGTAAGTAGTAGTAGTAGTCGTAGTCGTAGCAGTAGTAGTAGTAGTAGTAGTAGTAGTAGTAGTGGTGGTGGTGGTGGTGGTGGTGGTAGTGGTCGTGTAGTAGTAGTAGTAGGGTAGTAGTAGAGTAGGAGTAGGAGTAGGAGTAGTAGGAGTAGTAGGAGTAGGAGTAGGAGTAGTAGTAGTAGTAGTAGTAGTAGTAGTAGTAGTAGTAGTAGTAGTAGTAGTAGTAGTAGTAGTAGTAGTAGTAGTAGTAGTAGTAGTAGTAGTAGTAGTAGTAGTAGTAGTAGTAGTAGTAGTAGTAGATGTCTTTTGGGAGCCTCTTGGAGGCCTTTTGGGGCGTCTGGGGGGCCTCTTCGCGGCCCCAGGGGCTTCTAGGAACGTCTTGGGTGCCTTGGGGGAGCTTCTTCGGGCCTCTTGGGAGCCTCTTGGAGGCCGTTTGGGGCGTCTTGGGGGCCTCTTGGCGGCTCCAGGGGCTTCCAGGAGCGTCTTGGGTGCCTCGGGGGAGCCTCTTGGGGCCTCTTGGGGGCCTCTTGGGGGCATCTTGGGGGCCTCTTGGAGGCCTCTTGGGGCCTCTTGGGGCTCTTTGGGAGGGGTCTGGGAGGTATCTTCGGGCCATCTTTCGGGCGATCGATCACAGATGGGGCGAGCACTTTTCTACTCCCCCCCGTCGGGGCCAGAATCCTCGTGAGGGGTGTCGAATTTTAGCCCTCCCAGGAGTCGAAAAAGACCCTCCAACGACCCGCGAAACGCCCTCTCCAGGCCCAGGGGGAGGGGGTAGGGGGAGGGGTAAACCCCTCCCCGAAAGGGAAGAAGGGGGTTGAGAACAGAGTGGGCTCCCTAAACCACTCACGCCCAAAGGGCTGGTGGGATTCCACCGGTTTGCAGACCCTGGATTCCTTATCTAAGGGGTCCTTGTCCAATGCCGCCACCGTCTTGGAAAAGACTCGCCGTCAGCGAAGGACACTTTGGAAGCCGAGTATGCACGGCGCCAGGGCGAGAGCTCCTTTTGGAAGCAGTTTCGCCCTCTATCTAATGTTCTTCGGCCCATCCCGCCACGGTGCCTGGGTTGTGGATATGGACCCTATTGCATTTTCGTTGGGATCTCGTGGGAGGCCTCTCGGGGGCCTCTTGGAGGCAGTTTGGAGGCCTCTTTGGGGCCATTTCGTATCTTTTGGGGACTTCTTTAGTCCTCTTGGGGCTTCTTGGGGGGCCTCTTGGGGCCTCCTGGGCGCCTCGTGGGGCGGAAGGCTCGGATTTTCGGTTCGTGTTCCCTCTCTTGGGCTCCTTTTGGGGCCGTCTTGGGGCCCTCTTGGGCGGTCTTGGGCGCCTTTGGGGCCGTCTTGGGGCCTTCTTGGACTTTCTTGGGGCCGTCTTGGGCCGTCTTGGGGCCGTCTTGGAGGCCTCTTGGGCCGTCTTGGAGCGTCGGTAAGCCGACAAGACGAGTGGGCCAAAAATGATGTACAATAAACACCAAAGGACAATCAATGACTTTGGCGTCTTGGGGCCTTCTTCGGAAGCCTCTTGGATGCCTCTTGGGCTGTCTTGGAGGCCTCTTGGGCCGTCCGGGGGCCATCTTGGGCGTGTTTGCCCGATCTTTCGGCGACTCGGGGCCCTCTTGGGCCGTCTTCGGGGCCTCTTGGGGCCCTCTTGGCCCGTCTTTGGGTCCTGGTCCGAAAAACCTATGCACCACTTTGGCAACGCCCATGGGGCGCGTGACAAGCCCCAAGAGATTTCGGAATTTGTGTCCGGGCCCCTTACATATTCCTCTGGACTGAGGACTGAGGTTCCAGGGATTAGGCAAAGAACCTGAGGACACGCTCACTCCGTGCCCAGCGGCACGGCGGCGGATTTGTTCTTCGGTTGTGTAGAGAGATGGTGTGCGGCACCAGCACAGCGAGAACCCCACTGTGAAAACCATCTGTGGTCTACGTGTCAACGCGATCTAAATTCATTTTCTCCTTGAGGCTTCCCGCGGCGGCAGGGACGATGAATATGAGGATGTGGATGCTGTTGCTGCTGGTGGCGACGACGACCCTGGGAGCGCTTTTTGAGGAAGGACTGGCGATTGGGCGCGTTGGGAGCGTCTTGGATCGTCTGGGAGCGCCTGGGGCAGCCTTGTTCCAAGTCGGAGTCGGCGAGGGGTGCCCGAACCGTTTCGATTTGTTTTGCGTCTGCTTTCGATGTTTTGTTGATGTCCCTTGATGGGTCGATGTTGAAGGTCAGCGCGCCGAATACAGTTTTGTATTTAGGATTGCGAGGCTTGGGTCGGATGGACCTGCACCGAATTGCATATGTTGCGAAGAGTGGTGAGGGTTGGGTCGGATGGGTGCGCACGAAATAATATGGCGTGCGTCAAATAGGTTTGATCGTGTGGGTGTACACATAATAATATATTTCGCATGTGATGGTGTTGGGTCGGATGAATGTGCACCGACTCATTTATTGTGCGTAGAACGGTGAGGGTTGGGTCGTAAGGATGTGCGCCGATTAGAAGGTTGTCGCATCAAGTGGTGAACGTTGGGTCGTGTGGAGGTGATCATATTTGCATTTGTTGCGTAAGTCGGTGATGCATTGGTCGCATGGGTGTGCGTCGAATGATCTGTTTTGCGCTGGATGGTGACGGCTTGGTCGTGCGGCTAGGGCGCAAAAAGAAACCGACCTCCATTGTTTTTAGTGTTGCGCATGTTTAGGACGAGTGTGCGCGGCGCTCAGGCGAGAGCCACATTTTGAAACCGTGCTGGCCTCTATTGTTGAAGTTCCGAAAACATGTGTACGCTGCGCTATAGCGACAACATTTTCAAATCGACCCAGGCTCCATCCTTGAAACTACTGTTGTAAATTTCAAGCTTCAGGATCGTAATTGGCGAGGGGGGTTCAGGTGAACCGCCCTGTCCAGCCTACGGACACGTCTGGTGGTGAGAAGGTGGGGAGTTAGTTTTCTGGAAAGAGAGGCAATGGAGGAGGAAGAAGAGGTAGGATGACGAGGACAGGAGGAGGGCCTCCACCATCACACGGATGACGACGTGGATTATCTGAAGTAAATGCGTAATTTTTCATGTGGGATCCTACAGCTGGTGTGGTCGTATTGTTCAGACCATGGGACGTTCATGAGGCGCGCACCAGCCAGGCGAAAACCTGGTTTTCCCAGCCAATTATTTTGGAATCCAGTTAGGGCTCCTCAGTGCAAACGCAGTTTTCGAAAACAGTGCGGCCACGGGCGTCGAATGGGCGCAAACCCACAGAACCCAGCCAGAACACAAATTGGCGACACGGCGGCGACGGGCGGCGGCCGAGCACAAACCCCGAGAGCTCATCCAACGAACGAGGCGTCGACGAGTCGGCGCTGGACGACGACCAGGTGAAAACCCGTGGAAGCCAAACGGCGGCGACGGGAAGCGACGAGCGGCGACTGGGCGCCAAACCAAGGGAACCCAGCCAGGACGCGTGGCGGCGACAAGGCGGCGACCGGGCGCAAACATGGGAGCCTGGTCAGCACACGAGGCGGCGACGTGGCGGCGACGGGAGGCGACCCGGCGGAAACCCGGGGAAACCACCCACCCAATTACTTCGCAGAGGGAGTAAGACCCCCCCCTTCCTCCTATGGTAGACACTGTTTTGGGGAATGTAGCAGCTAGGGTGGCAGGATGTGGGGGGCGGTGGAGGGTGGAGGTCGGGTGTGTGGATGGCGGATCATGCGTGGACGAAGCAAGAGCTGGGAGCCCCGACGAAAGAGAATCCGCAGGAGGCCGGTTGATGGGCTTGCGGTGGTGGGGGTGCGAGACTGGTGTGGTGGGGGCCCCGATGAGGCGGACGGCGGACGCAACGAGCCAGCGGGGGCCAGAAGGATATCATTGGGCGGGGCGGGCTTGGTGATTTGGTGGGGGGAAGCCCTGGGAACTGCGAGCAAAATCAGAGGGGTCGCGAGGGCAGACGAAACAGATGCAGCACGTCAGGGGATACTACGAGGAAGTAGGGAACGGTGGAAGCCAGCGCTTGGTGGCCGAAGTGGGCGGAAGATCAGCGTCAGATGGGTACCCCGAAGGGAGAAAGAGAGAGAGAGAGAGAGAGAGGGAGAGAGAAAGAGAGAGAGAGAGAGAGATAGAGAACGAGAAAGAGACAGAGAGATGAGAGGGAGAGAGAGAGAGAGAGAGACAGAGACAAAGAGTACGCGTCAGAGCGAGGCATGCTGCGAGGGACTGTGGATGCCACGTTGGGAAGGGTGGCGGACGCTTGCGTAAAATCTGCAGGCTGGGATTGCCCGAAGAGGCAGATGCCACGAGGCAGTAGGGTGAAAGAGGGGGAGGATAAGGAGGATGAGGACGAGGAGCCCGAGTCTGGCACCAGGGTGGAGGGAGGATCCTGGCCAGAAGCCCTTCACGTACCAGGCAACTCTTGCGAACTCCCTCGCGCGCGGGCGACACCCCGCTTGCCCTCGCTTGGCGGAGCAGGGTGAGACGGATGCTGTTGTTGCTGATGCTGATTAAGTTGATAATGATAACGATGATGATGCTGACGATGATGTGAGTGGTGATGATGATGATGACGAGGCTAATGACGATGATGAGGCTGATGATGATGGTGATGATGACGATGATGTTGATGACGATGATGATGCTGATGATGAGGATGACGATGGTGATGCTGCTGCTGATGATGATGACGATGATGATGATGACGATGAAGATGATGATGCTGATGATGTGTGTGTGCAAAGTCAGAGCCTTAATTTAGTCATCAACCTCGCCCTTATCTTGGCGTGATCAACCGGAGAACTACCTTTCTCTCCGCTTCTGCTCCTCGGTGCGGCGCTCGCGCTCCCCTCCGCCTCTTATCCTTCGCCCCCCTTCTCTATCCTTAGCCGCTCCCTGCTCCAATTGTCCGTCATTCTCTTGGCTCCGGAGGTTGCCCTCGAGGCTTTGGCATCGGACCTCCCCTCCTCTCTTCTTCGCCCCCCCCCTGCGCGACTGTCCAGACCGCTACGCCTCCCGCTAAAAATTCGCGAGAGTCCGGGCCCCCCGCGACGAATTCGTGAGAGTCCCGTTCACGATTCGCGGGAATCCCTTGCGCCGTGCACTGTCCTCCGAGGCGCCCACCTGGGCTACCTCGCCCCCGTGGAACCCCCTTGGGCGATTCGCGAGGGCTGTTCCCGCGCGAGACCACCCCGGGCGACTCGTGCAGGAACTGAGTGGCGGAGACCCCCCTGGGCGATTCCACCGCTCGGGCCGACCCCACCCAGGGCGAGTCGGCCCGTCCTGGACCCCCCCAGGCGATCCAGGACCCCCCGCGCCCTCCCAGGCGAGCGGGGGCGCTTACGAGAAAAGCTCACGCCGAAGCTCTTCCTTTTAAGGGAACCTTGGCGGCGGCGATCCGCGCCGGGGCGGCAGTCGAACCCTCCTGGGCGATCGACCGCGGCAGATTCCTCCCACGCGAGAAACACAAAGCAACACAACAAAACACAAATGAGCACGCAAAAATACAAAAAACACAAAAAAGCACCGGACGGAACATCAAAAAAACACAAAAAACACAACAACCACACAGACGCACACAGAAATTGTTAAATTATGGCTCTGACTTTGCACACCTAAAGACGATGATGGTGATGATGGCGATGATGTTGATGCTGATGATGCTGATCATGATGGTGGTGATGATGATTTTGATGCTGATTGTGCTGCTGTTGGTGATGATGATGTTGATGCTGACGACGACGATGACGACGATGCTGATGATGATGATGATGTTGCTGTTGTTGTTGTAGTTGCTGTCGTTATTGTTGTTCTTGTTGTTGCTGTCGTTGTTGTTGAGGAGGATAACGATGACGACGACGATGATGACGATGACAATGATGATGACGACAATGACGATGATGCTGTTGATGCTGATGACGATGCGGATTTTGATGTTGATGATGATGATGGTCATGTTGATGATTCTGATGCTGATGATGAGGATGTTGCTGATACTGATGATGCTGATGCTGATGATGACAATGCTGATTATGATGATCATGATGAAGAAGATGATGGTGCTGCTGATGATGATCATGTTGATGCTGCTGATGATGATGACGATGTTGATGATGAGTTTGAAAACTGTGATGCTGATGATAATGATGATGCTGCTGATGATGATGCTGATAATGATGAAGACGATGGTGTTGATGATTCTGATGACGATGATGATGATGATGATGATGATGATGATGATGATGATGATGATGATGATGATGTCCATGATGCTGCTGATGATGATACTGATGATGCTGCTGTGGAGGAGGCGGAGGAGGGGGGAGGGAAGGAGGATCAGTGATACGTATGAAGTGCCTTCTCGTTGCGCTTGCATCTCGGCAGCTTGGCTGTGTAGTCCGCCAGGCTTTCGAAAGGCGCCTGGGTTGAATAATCATTGTCAGGCCATCAGGTGGGGAAGCGCCGACATGAGCTCGAATCAGAGCGAAGGTTTGCCCGTGCTTCTGCACCAACTCGTGTCGCTCGCGGACTTGGCGCGGGTGTCCGAACTACTGAACAGAAAATGCGGCGCAGATGAGACGGAAATGCCTGAGAGTGGTTCCGATCAACATTCGTTTTTACGGCGAAGGGAACGTTTTGGTGGTCGCCACGACCGGGGCAGATCTAGAGTTTGCGTGAGGCATGAGGTTGCGCCAGTGTTGGCAAGTCAGGGCACGCAAGATCCAGCAAGTTCCATTGCCGCGCCCGTGAGAAGAGACGGAGAAGGGGTACCCCCCCGGTCCCTGGCCACCCAGGGGGCTGGTGGGATCACGATTGGCATCGTTGCACCAAGCACAGGCGTGCCACAGATGATTTGGTACGCCGTAGGCCCGTTGGGGCGGATTTGATCTGAGTTTGCTCTCGAATGTCTAGCTCCGGGCTCGTCTTCGCTGTCCACTATTGGCGACTTGAAAGCGGTGCTGGCTGAGTTTACAAGGTGTGCAGGAGGAAGAGTTAGCGCGAACGCAGGAGTGATGCGACAGAGAAATATAGAGGTGTCCAGGTGCCTGCCGCAAGGTCCGCGTGCCAGCGCAGCACTCTGTGCGGTGAACCTTCGACAGCCACCCCCCAGAAGGCTGTGGCATGTGTCAGTTTTCGTTCTTTTGCTCCTGTGGATCGTGACATGCGGCACGCTCTTCTGCAGGCTTGAGCTGATTGTAATACGTGGAGCATGGGTGTCTTCCCCTTAGGGATCTGTCGTATGTGGCGCAACTCTTCCCGTGATTCATAGAACAGTTCTCTGTAGCAGCTTCGTTACCTCCACCAGTGAATCAACGGTCCGAGCATGCGCCAGTTGATTCGTCGGGCTTGCATTCGTGCGCCTGTACCCTTACGCCAGCACGCCCAGCACACCCCCCTGTCCATAACACCAGAACGCAAGCAGGAGTAGGAACAGGAACGTGAGTTCGGAGAGACGATGACATACACGTAAACATATACACATAGAAAAATAATGAGAGAGAGAGGGACAAAACGAGAGAGAGAGAGAGAGAGGAAGGAGGACGAAAAGAGGAAGACGGAGGAATATTGGGAATGTGCTGATGGTTGTGTTGGTGTTGATATGGTTGTGAATGTCCTGAATATGGATCTTGTTTGTAGTTAGTTAGAGAAACCTGCAATCAACATGGTGCTTGCAGATTTGCTGATGGTTGTGTTGGTGAGTGTGTTGGGTGTTGTGCCAATCGAGTCATAAGCTAATGGAGGTGTAGAAATCTTGTTTGGCTTATCCAGAAGGCCTACGGCGAATCACCCCCTCCCCCCTGCCTTTTGGAAGTGGCCAGAGCTCTGCTTAGCTATTGGACCATGTATTCCCCCAGCCGTTGTGGAAACCCTTCGGGGAACACGCGGGGGTGAAAGACGAAGTGGAGGAGAGGGAGGAAAACTATAGAGGAGGTGGAGGAGGAGGAGGAGGAGCAGTAGGAGGCGGAGGAGGCCGTCGTGTCTTTCGTGCTGTCGCTCTTGCCCCCGGATGGGTGTCGCGTTCGCGTCCGTTCGGGTCCCGCTTTCACCAGCTGTCCCTTTTCCTCCGTCCTCCCTCCCTTCCTCTTCTCTCCTCCCTTCCTCTTCTTTGCTCTGTCTGGCTCTCCTCTCCTGCCCCTGCTCCGCTCGGTTCTTCTGGCTCCTGGCTCCCCTCTCCCTCTCTTTCTGGTTTCGCGCCTCCCGAAGCCCTGGCGGCGGCTCGCGTGCACCTCCCTGCACTCTTCCGGCATAGGCGGTTTCTTCTCTCCACCGCTCTGGCGGTTCGACACTACCGGCTTGCGCCCGCGGCGCGGCCTGCGGAGGCAAGAAAGAGGAGGAGGAAGAAGAAGAAGAGGATGCGGAGGATGCTGAGGAGGAGGAGGAGGAGGAGGAGGAGGAGGAGGAGAAGGATGATGAGGAGGCCACTTGGGGCCTCCTGGGAGCTTCCTGCGGGCCTTCTGAAGGCCTGTTAGAAGAAGCCTCCTTGGGCCTCTTGGGCTGTCTTAGGGCGTTCCTGACCCGTCTGACGCTGTCGGAAGCCGTCTGGGATTCCTCTCTGAACCGACTTGAGGCGCTCGTGGGGCGCTTCAGGGCCGTCTTGAAGGCCATCTTTTGCGTCTTGGTGATCTTTTGGGCCGTCTTGAGCCCTTCTTGGGGCCGTCGTGGATGCTTCTTGGGGCGTAACGGGGTCATCTTCGAGGCCTTTGGGGCTATCTTGGAGCGATCTTGGGGGCCTCTTGGGCCGTCCTGGGCCGTAGGAAGTCTGAAATGAAGCAAAGGTTTTGAAGCCTCTTGGGGGCTGTTTTGGGGCTTCTGAGGTGCCTCCTGGGGCCTTGGGGGGGTCTCTTGGGGGCGTCTTGGGGCCTCTTGGGAGCATCCTGGGCGCTTGTTGGGGCGGAATGCTCGGATTTCTGGTTCGTGTTTCCCACCTTGGGCCCCTCTTGGGCCGTGTTGGGCGCCTCTTGGGTCGTCTTTGAGCCCTCTGAGGCTGTTTTGGGGCCCTCTTGGGGGCCTTTGGGCCAGTCTTGAGGCGGTCTTGGGGGCCTCTTGGGGCGTCTTGGAGCGTCGGAAGCTCGAAAAATGGAAAAAATGGAAAACCGATAATAACATTGAACAACCAGCGGGAAATCAATGATTTTGGCCCCTGGGGGCCCTTTAGATGGCTGTTGGAGGCCTCTTAGAACGGTTGGGGTGCTTTTTCGGCCGTCTTGCGGCCATCGTTGGCGTCTTGGAGCGATCGTTCGACGATTCGTGGCCCTCTTGGGTCATCTTGGGGCCCTCTTGGTCCGTCTCTTGGGGTGCTCCGGGTGCTGAGCAAGTCATGCGGGAACACGCCCTGGTCACGCAAGAACACGCGACAAGCCCCAGAAGATTCATGGGCTTACGCCACACCGCCGACCCCTTGGGATATCTGGGAA